ACTATTGTAATGTATGTTAGTTTATTTTGCGTACTTCTCCTCTACCCCCGACTCCCAAACTTTGGGAGCAGCCACTCCAATGAGAAACATGCAAAGAGAACAAGCATCTTCTGACTTTTTGTTGTTGTTGTTGTTTGGGTTTCAGGACAGTTTTTATTGCATGAAACTCTTCCTAATGAAAAGTAGTCAAGGACATTTTCAGCAAAATGGGGGATTAATGTGCAGTTCAAGCTTTTCCACTGTTTTCTGAAAAGATTTTACCTGCCATGTCATCTTCAGCCTGTAGAATTTGAAGAGAGGGGTGTCTTTGAATTAAAATGTTATCTTCTTATTGAAATTGAACGATCTTCTCACCAAAAAAGAATACCAGCAATACAATACATAAAGTTGGGGCCAAACCTTTACTGCTAGTTACCTTGATGAAACACCATAAGAATGGATAGGATTCCTATGAGGAAATATTGTGAAAAGGAATATATTTCCTTACAGGAAAACTCTGAAAAAGCTGGAATTAGAGAAAGAAACTAAAAAGGGCGGTGGGGAAAATCAAATTAACTATGATTTCTTGGAAAAAATCCATTAATTAACTCACAAAACTCCCCACTCCAGAAAAAGAGGCACACACAGCCAAAATTGCTATACTTCTCCTCATTTTGACTTCGACCTTTCTAGTTCTGCTTGAAAAAAACAAACCACTCTGATGAGCTTGAGGTGCTATTTTCAGAGCTGGAGTCAGACATAAACTTCTTTTGAGTTTAGAGCTGTACAGCCTTGGGGCTGAGATGTGAAATGCACTCATGGCATCAAACCAGGATCTAGAGCACAAGTGTTTCCCTCATAAATTATACTAATCACTTTTGACAGTAGCTGGCATCTCTTCTACTTTTTTTTCTGGCAATATGACTTGAAGACATTATAGCCCATGGAACCGGAGCTATTTTCTTAGTGATCTGTGTTAGGCGGTGAACATATGAGTTGGACAGTGTCAGGGGAATTTAATGAACTACAGCATGTGCCCTTCTTGCGCCATGACAGTTCTGTCAGTTGGGTCTCTAGATATGTATTTCAAAGAACAGTGTGTAAAACAATCTCTTGCTCAAAGGATAACCTTTTTCTCCCCATACAAGACAGATGTGATCAGCATCTGTCTGTGCTCATCATTTTCCACTCCCAGCAGACTTACTCACCCGCAGGTTCTGGATGGTCTTTTCATCCCTGTCATCATCTCTGTAGAATTTCCCCAGAACCACCTTGAGCTCTGCTGTCTTGAGGACGATGGTCTTGCCCAAGTCAGTGACGCAGTGAGCTGCCACCACCACAGTGCGCTCGTTCACCAAGGCCCCACTGCAGATAAGGATCCAGGCCCCTTTCCGGAGACTGTTCTCCTTCACCCCATTGGCCGTTCGATAGATTGCTGCTTGCCAGGGCCACCTGGTAGAGGTCACTGTCTTCTGAAGGGTGATGTTTTCTGCTTTTCCACAGACTGAGAAAACATGAATCAAGAATGAGATAACACCTTTTCCCCAACAAAGAATCCAAATATCACTCATGATTTCTGCTTAAGATGTGCCAAAAAAAACCAAACTACAATGGTTAGTGTGAGGGACAGCTTTCTGATTAACCTTTGTCTCCAACCTGCAAAATTAAAATATAAGACTATTTTATATAGCTTTAAAAACAAACCTTTCGATTTTTCCATTATTATCTGAATTCCTGGCTGAAGTAGGAATGTGGATTTAGCACTTGAGGAGGTGAATTTTCATGACAACCTTATCAAGCTACACTCTAATGAGATGACTGCATAAAGAAATGGAAAGAACACCCCTGATTCTTGCTTATAATAAAACACCATAAAGCCAGCAGTGCACTAAAACTCACCCTAGGCAGTCACAGAGTAATTGTGAGGTCCTCTCCTAGAAGTGACCTTAACACAGATGAGTTCATGCCTACGAGAACAGATTTGTCTTGCGATAAGAACCTTGAAGCAAGTGCATCTAAATCAACAGCCATCCTGGGGAAAAGAAAAAGCTCTGCCCTGTTCTAGGAATATATTACCAGGGCTCGGTCCTGGAGTAAAATCTCGTGTATTAGGAAAGGTTTACTTCAGTTTAAAGAATGTGGTCATCATGTGGTCACATTTTTTAGTCTCCCTTAGGACATGGTTTTTTTCCCTGGGATGTAGTGTGTGCATGCCCACAGTGAAAAGGATGGAATGCAGTACTTTTCAATATATGAGATGATCTCAAAGCAAAACCACAAACAAGAACTCTAAAAATTTGCTTGATGTTAGGATCTACTTTTCACAGTTTGCCTGATGTCAGTAGTGGGTTGTACCCAATCTTGTGATGTTCCTACCCTGACTCACTCTCTGCACTAGCTCTGGGTAAGATTTTATCTGAACTTACAGTTTGCAATATGAACCTTTCCTTAGCAGCGCATATTAAAGGAAGAACCTCTTTAAAATGCAGACTCTCCATTCTATTGTTTAAACCTTGATGTTTTTGTCAGCTGTGTGCCAAAGTATAGAGATGAAAGAAAAATCACATTTGTAGTAAATAATACAGGAAAACAGGAAGTGAGAGTAGGAAAACATTTTGAAATCAGGAGAGAAACTCACTACACCTTTTGCTCAATAAAAGAGTGGAAAAATTGATGGCAAATTACAGTGCTGAAAGCTTGATAGAAAGACAATTAAAAAAAAAAAATCCTGCATTCAAGCTGATGT